AGTATAAAAAAATGTTTTTTTGGCTCTCTTTTCGCAAGCTTTATAAAAAAACAGTCTTGACTTACAATCATAAGATTAGTTTAGAGCACTAGAAAAGATTTTGGGCTATCAACTGGTGAAAAAAATCACCAAAAAAATATTATATTAAACGCTTAAAAATTAGATTTTAATAATTATGTAGAAAATAGCTGAGATTCTACATTCACCCCAAATGGGGTAAATGTAGAATCGAAAAGTAGTCCTCAAGAACACCTTGTAGATAGCGATACTCACAAGATTTTGAGAAACGGATTGCACCAATCGATAGACGAGAGATTCAGTTGCATGTTTTGTGAAGAAAACTTTTCAAAAAAATGAAAAATAAAAAGTTATAGGCAATATGCGTGAGCTCACTAATTTTTTGTCTACATTTACCCCGATTTACTCTATATTATTTACACTTACTCATTCTTATCAAATGTTAAAAGTAAAATAATGAAAAAAAATTTTTTTAAATTTAATTGATTATAACAAGCAGTTGAAACTGATTTCGTAATTTTTCTATTTCTTCATCAGATGATACATATTCATTCAATTGTCGTTTGACTTGGTTCATAGAAATATTAGAAGGTATGATCTAGAAAATTTTATTAAATTAGAATTTTATTAATAGCGAATTACTTGTTAACTATAGTTAAAGCAAAGTTTTCATGTACATATAGTAAAACTCATTAAACAGGTACAAAAAGAAAACCAGATGTTGATAATCTTTCAATTATCTTTTGAATCAACTATCTCATTCAGACGAAGTTAATTTATCTGAATCATAAGTTATAAATTTCGAACTGAATTATGATGAATTTTAATCTTGAGAAGAATCTTTTCACGTAAGCATTCTATTATCACATAACAAAGAATTCATTAAAAAGTATCTCCACCAAACGATAGCAGTTTATTGATAAAAAAAAGAAGACAATTTGCATAAAATTTCATACAAAAATAAACATTATACTTTCTTGCAATAAGAAATTTTCTATGCAACTGATAAGTATAATATATTTTAATTGTATCAGTAAACTATTATTAATTTATGTTAATTTCGGATATAAATAATTTCAAAGATTTTAATAATTAGTTTAACATATCTTCATATTATTAGAATAATACAACGATGTAAATAAATTCTAGAAAAATTAAAGATAAGTAAATATATTAGTTTTATGTTTTTGAAAGTATAAAATTATAATGATTTTTCAGTTAATTTTCAACATTAAATCTTTTTCAAACATATTCAATGCAGATTGCACAACTTGATAAGTATGTTGTTGGTCGAAAAATTATCGTCGACACGACATTTCGTCGACAAAGCATTTCGTCAACACAGCATATAAAAAAAAGGGGTGTGGGTGTGCGTGGGGTATCGGCGTGGGTGTTAGTGTGGGTGTCGGTGTCGGTGTGAATGGGGGTGTGAGGGTAGGGTGGGGGTGCGGATGTGGGTATAGGTGGAAATGCATTTCTACCCATACTCACACTCACACTCACCCACACCACACCCGCACACCTACATCGACACCCACACTCACACCCACCCACACCCGCACCACCCACACCCACACAAACCCACCCGACACCCCACACTCCACATCCACACGCACACCCCACACCCACACACACCCAATCTGCAGCATGGTATGTTTAACAAAGAACTCGTTTATAAATGAAACGAATGTTTCGAACTGTAAATATCATTTTGGAAGATATTTTTTGACAACACACAGAAATCTGCTCATATACAATAGAAGATTTACATTAATGGATAAAAGTCTCCACCCCAGTCAATGCCGACCACTGTATGCGTTGGAAATATGAAAATTTGTGCACACGTACTTCACCAAGAATGTAGATTATTGGCATTGTGGTGTCATTATTGCTTAGCTATAAAGAGAGTTATGATGGATGACACCTATTTTCGTTGTCAGCCTCATAACTGTGAGAAGAAAGAATATTCTGTATTAGTCGACTCCTCAATATATATATTGCCATGTTTGAGCTGTCTACATTACTAATTTCATTGAAATTCATTACTTCTTTCAAAGACTATTGCTGATTGTTGTGGAGAGAAACCATACACTGTCTTCTAAAGGAATTTTCACAAGCAAATCTTACGCTAAAGAGAAATGGAACGTAGACGATAATCTTGTTAGTTTCAAGCATCAAGAACCACTAACATTCGAGAGAATGAAGTTATCTGTTAGTTGAAGAGAGACCGTTGACAAATATCAGCTATATGTACAAATATCCAGAAATAATTAGTTATATTTTTACTAAGAAACAGCGCAATATTTTTTAGACAGTCTATTTTAAGTTATAATGCTCAAAACAAAAGATGATGCTATCTATCATAACTCTTTGTAATTAGGCAATAATGGCGTTGCAATTCTAATGATCTACATTCTTAACGAAGTTATGTGCACACAAATTTCCAGACATTCAGCATATACAGTAACCGAGATCTTTTAAGACAAACTTTTGTTCACTGCTATAAGCCAAATCCTCTAACACACTGATGTATGATTACATAGGAAAAAAGAAAAAAAGTTTTTGTTCATCGATCACTAGTCGAGTTTTCTAATCGTACGATATTATATTTCAAAGCCGTATATTTAGCTATACATCACGTGATAATCTAAGTTATATAGAACAAGTATTTTATGATTGGTTGAAAGATAAAGTAAATCATTCGAATGATGATATTTATTTTAAATATTGAAAATAAATTTATCTATCATGAATTGAGTTATTCATTATCTCTACGAAAACATAGAGACAATCTCAAGTTCTTTTATCAAAGAAAAGTCATTGAATGTGCTTATACTCAATCGTTTTAATCATGAAAAAGTTATGCTATATCGAAAATCAAGATCGAACAACCAATGTTTGATTAGAAATAATTGTTCATAAAAAAACTCGCGTAATGAGAAGTTCGAGCGAATTTTTGAAGAAGACTCGCTATTAATCAGACATGTATCTGATCATGCAATTTATTTTTTCTCAAAACACGTTTTTTTTCTGATGATTTTAATGATAGAATTTGAAATCTATCGATACCATATGTCTCTAGTAACTCTTTTGCATTCTATATGATAAAGTAACGTACTTCTTCTCCTTGAGGAAAAAAAGTTTAGGTGAAAATTTGAAATCATTTAATTATTCTTTGATATTTGTTATGGATGAAATCTTGAATACAAGTCATTTCATGATATATGTTTATGTCAAGTTGTAATACTGCATTGTTCAATAAATATTATTACAATAAAAGGATTAGAGAATAAATAACAAAATAAATGAATATAAACTGACTATGATGAGCAGAAAAGCTATTAAAAATAACATCGATTGAATTGTTCAATGTTTAACATCATTTCATATCCGAAGCACTAGGTTTTCCCAGTTTGAAGTTGTTATTTCATGTCTGTTCGTGCGAGTCGTTATTTTTATTGATGTTTCTTTTTGCAGTAGTCATGGCTCCAATTGGTTTTCTTCGTGAAACTTGATTTACTTATGATTAAAATAGAACATCTTTCAACTGAACAAGCCAAGATTAATTCAAGTACTCACAATTCAATTCAACTTCTCAATTCATGTCACAAAGAAATTAATCTATTAAAAGAATTTATTCTGAACAAATTCTGTCCATTTGTTTGTGAACTGAGTGATGCATTTCTTGGTAAGGGCAAACAAGTAGAGAAAGATCGGCTACGGCCATTACTTATTCAATTCAAACAAGATTTCAAAGAAGCAACTAAATCAACTGCTTTTGATACACGAACTAATGCTATATTACCAAATTTCTCATCAAATGAATCCATCAGCGATGACTTTTAAACCAAATCAAAAGAAATTTTATTCGATCAATACCGATCAATTAACAAAAGCTGAAGAAAACATCTTTCAAGAATTATTATGTGAATGGACTGATACTCCCACACTTGATCTTTTATTTGAAAAATGGACAAACCATCGTGATAAAAATTTTTCTTTGATGAACATAAAACAAAATATATCTCTTTTTCTTTTAAATGTCTCTAGTTTAAACAAGTACCTCGTCGACGTATTTAAATTAATTGATTCCATATCATCACCAATTGTGATATTAAATGGTATGCATCATGATGATAATTCGGTTAAACAATTTAGGTCTCATTTCTTTAACTTTAATGTTTTTACAATGAAAGGAACAAATATGTTTGGTAGTGTGTTAATAGCAGTTCATAAATCAATTCGTTCACAACGTGCAGATGAATTTGACAATTTATGTAATTTAATCGTGTTGGAAGTTGGATCAGATCTGGATATGTTTCAATTAGCTACATGTTATTTTCCACTTACTGAACCCATTCCTCTTGATATATTTGATCGTTTGCTTCAACGTAATCCAAATTCAATCTTTACCGGAGATTTTAACGCTAAGCACAATTCATGGTCAAGATCTGCAGATAATCAAAAGGGTCGAGCTTTGTTCAGCTGGCTATCTTCATCACCAATACATTCATCTCTGGAAATTATTAACAAATACATATCTACTTCAACTCGTTCAAATGCAACAATTGATTTAATTATTGCACCATCGCATATGTCGTCTACTTCCTTCTCGGTTCTTCCAAGTATTGGAAATGATCATCATCTCGTTCTATGGCATCCGTCATTTAAAATATCCTCCACTCATCATCGTTTTCCTATCAAGTGCACCCGTTGGAATCTTCTCGAAATTTTTCTTACATTTACAGCAACGTATTGGCAATCGTTAGCTGCTTCTATGTCATATTCAGCAGGTTTCTTCTCATTATATGAACGTTTTCTCTCGTTATGCACATCACGCCTTACCTTCATCACTTTCCGAAAAACAATTAAACCATCTTTACCTCAACATATTATCTATATGATTAAACAAAAACGTCAATATCTTAAATTATTTCGTCAAACACATCATCCTCATTTTGCTGTTGTTTTACGTGATATATCTAAAATGATACACAAGCAGCTATTTCTCCACAAAAGAAAATCGTGGCTGAAGTATGGCAATTCGTTTAACGATTGTGATACAACAGCTTTCTGGAAAAAGCAAAGCGTCATTTCAACTCTCGTGCAGCCCCTATAGAAGGTTTTCGCGCCAACAACAGCATCATCTCCTCGCCAATTGACATGTGTAACATTGCCAAAACGTTTTATGAAGAACAATTTTCTAGCCATCAACTCACTCAGTCGGAAATTGAAATTGAAGCCAACAATCTTGACAAACAGACCGACTATTCCTATTAATATTACTTACCATCATCTTCGTCGATCCATTTTTTCTTTAAAAAATAAACATTCGACTGGTTTGGATGGAGTATCAAATCGATTAATAAAATTGCTTCCTCCAGGTCATCTGTCACTCATCCTCTCGTGCTTGAACAACTTCGCAGCTACCTTGCAAACACCATTACATTGGCATATTGCGAAAATGATCCTTTTATCAAAAACAAAATCAAAAGTGGTCTCTATTGAAGAAACAAGACCAATCTCTCTACTGCCGTGTTTCTCAAAATTGTTCGAAAAATGCTTTCTGATACATTTTCGTCAATGGATTAACGAACAAGGTATTCTCCCAGCTGAACAAAGTGGCTTTCGTCCCGGTCATAACATGGCTGTGCGTTTAGTTGCTATTATGGATCAAATAGGGCAGTGTTTATCAAAAAATATAGCAGCTGCTGCACTTTTTGTTGATTTTCGCACCGCGTTTAACCAACTGTGGTTCAACGGACTATGGGTGAAACTAACCAATATGCAATGTCCATTATATTTAATCGCCTGGCTTCGTCATTATTTAAGACACAGAAAAGCCTATATCGATATTAAAAACACGTCATCTGCCTTGTTCAACCTTTCAAAAGGGGTTCCACAAGGCAGTTGTATTGGTCCGGTGTTATTCATAATATATCATCATGATATTCTTCAAGAATTATCATCTATTCATTGGAAACATTTATTTGCCGACGATCTTGCCATTTTATTCTCACTATCGCCATCAATGTCTTCATCAAATATGATAAATGCATTAGCTAATCAAATAAAACATGTACTTCTTCATCTGATAAACTATTCAATCAAGTGGAAACAGCCAATAAACTTTAGTAAAATATGTTGGATTCTCTTTAATCGTCAAGTTGTTCCACAAATTCCAAATATTATATGCAATGGTCACAATATCGAACACGTTAAAAAATTTAAATATTTGGGTACTATATTAGATGCTAAATTATCTTTTACAGCACATATAGACTACATCAAAACAAAAATTCGTACCAATATGAACGTATTCAAACGATTAAATTCAAGTCGTATGATGAGTGAACAAGTAAATTATCGGCTGTACAATGCATTTATCAGACTATATCTTCAATCAATACTCAACATTTATCCTATCCTTACTCCATCAAAACAGAATCAACTGGAAGGTCTGAATCGAAAAATATTCAGAGTAATACATCAATGGTTTGATGCAAGAAATATCGAAATCGAAAATCTACCCAAATATCAATCTATTTCGAAATTAACATTCAAACATTGGGATAAATTAATTCATACAATTCTAGTAACAAATCCTAGCATTGTTGAAGATATCTTACAACACAAATTATCGATCCTATACCTTCGTGAATATCTTTCTAATCCAACATTAGCTACTGAAAGAAGAAAAATATTTGGCAGAGGAAGAATCCGTAAAAATATTCGTAAAAGGCTATCCGAAGATCGTCCATCTCTGTTCGATTTTATTTTATGTTATCATCGATGAAAATCTTTTGTTCTTTTCGTCTGTCAAATATCTATATCACATATATCCCTTGAGCAATGTTAACTAAAGCTTTTGTTTCTCCTTTTTACTTTTTTCCCCTTCCTCGTCAACTTGTCTTTATAAAATGTTGTATCAAGTTGGTTTTCTTTTTTTCCTGCTACAGGAGCGATGTTCGCTCATAGCTTAAATAAAAGCATTACTATTAAAAAATTGGTCCTCTTCGTGCATTGGACATAGTTGTTGTTAATCTTCTGCTCGTGATAGGCTTAGTTGTCGTTAGTCTTCTTGTTGTAATAGACGAAATTGTCGTAATCTTGTTGGGTGCCATTATTGATTGGATCCATTTTACATAGTAACTAACTCGAGTGTAGATTCCTGGATAGCCAGGTAATGCACATCCATATCCATTGGATGTGATACCATGAAGCTGCCAAACATTATTAACAAATGCCATTAATGGTCCACCACTATCACCTTGACAAGTATCTGTAGATAGAAAAAAATTATTCTATAAGTGAATAAGTTTAATATTGATGTATTACCTTTGCCACCAGTTATTATTCCAGCACAAAATTGTAGTTTACTATCAGCAACCATTTCTTTACATCCACTGTATGTACTTGCTATGGGTTTCACTGTAACTTGCTGAAGAGTTGGAGAAGCTACAACTATCGACGTTGATGTTGTACCCCAACCTACAGCAACCATACTCATATTGTTTGATGGTTGAGGAACAGTACCAGATGGTAAACAGATTGGTTTGATATTTCCATGTCCCATATCTAATGGAGTAGACAAGCGAATGAGAGTCAAGTCGTTTTCGTACGTAATAGGGTTATAATTTGGATGTTTGTAGATTCGAGCAATGGAACGAATTTGAGGTGAATCTTTTGATGAGGGTTTTAAATTTACTGATCCAGCAAGAATAGTAATACTTTTTAAATTAGTTTTGTCATTGAAACAATGAGCAGCAGTAATAATGAATGATGGTGAAAGAATTGCTCCTCCACAAAAATGTCCTTCAGTAGAACGAAGAGAAACAGCCCATGACCAAGATTGTTCAACTGCATTTTCACCACCAATAATACGTGATATAAGAGTAAACTTAAATGAACATCCACATGCAGCATTTTCATTACATTGATATAGTGATCCATTTCCTTTCTTACAAATAAAAACGATGAAGAAAAATAAGAGAAAACGCATTATTATGATATTACAGGTATGAATGATTGTTAATTTATTAATGTTTTTTAACTTCAATTGTAACCTTAATATACCTTGTACGAAGGAAATTACACGTAATGCGTTTTTTATCCCTTTGTCATTCATGAGGGAAGGTTTCCGACTAAACCATAGCATTTTGTCTATATGATGAGGATATTATTCTAGGAAAAAGTTTATTAATATTTCAACTCAGTACAAGTTATATACAAAAGAAATGAACAACAGAATTTCAATCTGAAATTGCACTTATATTCAGTTCTCGTAATCATTGGAATACTCTAAAAATTTTAGTGAAAAATAAAAGTTTGCCTTGTTGATATGTTCAATTTTTAAAGAAAAAGTAAATCTTTCAGAACTTTAAGCATTATGAAACCAGTTTTTAAGAATCGATAACTCTAAAAGGAAACATTTTCTTCCACTGAAACTTTTACAGTATTTCAATGGCCATAAGAACTACATATGAGCAAAATTTCAGATTGGAATTCTGTTGTTCAATTTTTCTTTATATATTTTGTGTTAAGTGAAAAATCAGTATAATTGTCATCATCTTCGAAGTAAACCCCAATACTCAAACAATCGTAGTATTTTTCTTAGAATACTGTTCTCGACATATGAACAAAATATCAATGAAAACAGCGTGGATCAGTTAGGAACTTTTTCTCGTCAGAGAAGGATAAAAGGTAAATGTAATATTCCGTTCTCTGTAGTTACGATTGAATTTATTTATTGTGAGAAAGACTTGTCATGTTTTCTTATTTTAAACTTCATTTGTTTACGTACTCAATGAGAACTATGAGATGAGATTCGATAATAATATTGGTGCAGCTCATTCAACAAGAAGCGTTTTTTTTTTTTCAGATAAATATTATCTGATATGAAAATAATTCTACGAAATCTATTCTAGCAATATGTTGAATATTTACTTGAAAATATTAGATAATAATAAAATAGTATTCAATGTACGGATAAATCATTTTTGTCTAAAACAATTTGCTTTTGTTTCAGAAAAAAAACAAAAATTAATCATTGGAATATTTCTCTTTCACGTTTAGTTTTATATTACGACAACTAGACCATACCTACTATGATCGATTAAAGCAATGCTTAACGTTATCTTGTTTAGATACATGAGTCATGTTGTGTTTTGTTGAATAGCTTTGTCATTGAGATAAATAGCCTTGTAATAATGATAATGGGATAAAAACTACTATTTTTTTTTTTTTTATTAAGCAATTTTACCCTATGACCATGTCGGTCCTAAAGGGACGATTTAGCTGCATAATACTTTATGCTAGATAAAATGATTCAAACGTAAAAAGAAAATATGATGATTGAAGTAAAAACAGAAAAAAAAAAAAAAAAAAAACGAAGAGAGACAGAGAAGAAAGAAGAGATGACGCATAGAAAGGAGAATGATAAAATGTTTTAAAGGAAGCAGGGTCTGACTACCCATACCTATCTCCTATTTTGATGTAACTATACATGTATATTTTTTTTTTTTTTGATAGCGTTTACACTTCATCCTTTTTTTTTTTCTTTTTCTTGTCTTACTGCGAATATTTCATTCTTTAACTCTGGCATGCTGCTTTGAGTTGTTTATATTTAATCTTTTTATTTTCATTTCTTGATAACTCTCTTCTCTCTCTTTCTCGTTCGTTTCCTTTCTTTTTTTTGTCATCGTGACCTCAAGTCATTTTGTTCCAGATTTCTCAAACAAAACTTTCCGGGAACAGAGAAAAAGTTATTAGCTCCTCTTCCTTGTGTAACACGAGTGAGTCAGCAGAACCTTGCATGGTCATCCAGTTGAACACTTGTCCTAAAACGTCAATGTGTGCTACAAATCTTTTGGATCTAAACAAACAGCGAATACGTTGTGTACCAATCTGCCAAGCTGATCTGTGTGAGTTTAATTCTGATTGTTCTAATAGCAGGAATCCATCCCTTGACTTTGCTAATGCTTTTGAGTATTTTTCCCAGTATGCGAAGCAGAGATCATCCAACGATTTTTCATTATAAATTGTCGAGAAGACAAAGTCGTCCCAGTATTGGCACCTATATATACGTTTTAACAATGTGTAGTATAGATGATTTAGATCCAAGCGCTGTCTTTCACTGAATAGGGGATAAAGTCCAAAAATCCAGGTAAAGTAGGGTAATACGAAAGTAGAAAACAGAGTTCTTCGAAGATTAGATGATGATGTGCCGTTGATTCTGAACGAATTTACTAACGCTGTTTTCTGGCGCACCTTTACACGAGTTTTACCGATGACATTTCCCCATCCAAGCTTGGTCGTTAACCAGTATCCTAGATATTTGAAGGATGAGACCCATTCAATCGCATTATCTCCACATCGAACTTCTGGCATTGGGTTTGGATAACATACTGCACGAGCCGAAAACATAGTTTGTGTTTTTGAATAATTAATAGGTTGTACCGCTAATACGGAGTAGAATTCCAGTTGTTTGAAAAACGTTTGTAATCTTCGTTCCAGGTCTAAGCATTGATCTGTAAATTTTAATCCAATTTGTCCTGCCAGTACAGCTGCCAAATCATCGGCGAAGAAGAAGGACATTGCTCCTGGGATAAAGTCCGCCATATCACTATGATAAGTTATGAATAACGTTGGTGTTAGACTAGAGCCTTGTGGACCACCTCTGTTGATTTTGATCCATTTTGATCTTTTACCTTCTATCTCGATGGTTGCTTGACGGTAATTTAACCAGGATTGAATCCATTTGACATACGCACTCGGGATTCCCATACGAGTCAACTTTCCCAGGCATCCTTCAAACCAGAGTTGATCAAAAGCAGACTTAAAATCAACGAATACTGTCGCCACCGGTACACTATTTGACATATAAGATGAAATTTGTTCAACGAGTAGCAACACACGCGTTTGAAGTCTATACTCTGCACGAAAACCAGATTGATTATCAGGAAGAATACCTCGATCTTTCAACAGTCGCAGAAAACGATTAAGAAATAATCTTTCTTGTACTTTTAGAAATGAGTCAAGCAGGGAGATAGGTCTTGTTTGATCAGGCGCACATATAGCGTTTTTCTTAGCCAATAATATCATTCTTACTTCTTTAAACTTCTTCAGTATATAACCATTAGCAAACGAGTCATTGTATAATTTGATAAAAATGTGCCAGTAATTTTTAGGAATTTTATCTAGTAAAAACGGTGAGAGTCCGTGTATATCTAACGATTGTTTCTTCTTTCTTGAACGTAGTACATTTAATACTTCTGGGTACGTGACGATCGAAATTGGTTCAGATCTGTTTACATCTTCCACAATAGGCGCATCAACATATGGATGCGGACGTACAACTACCGGCGCTTCAAATAATGTTTCATAATACGTCGCCGCTGTATCCACCATCGCTTGCGGATCCTTTATTATTTCTCCACCAGGAAGAAGAAAACCTCTTAGTGATGATGAAGAAGCTTGAAAATGTCGTTTTGTTTTACTCCAGAATACCGTTGATTCGTCACCCGCCGAGTTTCTTTTCTTTAACTGATGAGTGAGCTGCGATTGTTGATAACGTTTTAATTCGAAACGAGCGATGTTCCGAAGACGACGAGCTTCCTGACGTAGAACTATATCCCCCTTTCGCTTCGCTTTGAACGACAATGAACGACTTTGAGCGAGCAGTTTCATAATTTCAGGAGGTACCGACGGTCTGGCTCTCATGATTGGAAAGTATTTCGTACATCTAGCTTTGAGTGAGACAATAAAATCGATAAATCGTTCATATGTAATATCATTAGATTCAACGTTCCATTCAGATTCCCAGAATTCAAATGTGTACGACAGCATTAACGAAAAAACCTGCCAGACTGTTCGAGATCCTTCAAGCTTCAAGGTCGTATCACAAGCCAATACCACAACAAGAGGCTTATGATCGCTACAGGTGTCATCTTCACATGTTTGAATCGACAAATTTACACCTGTTGCAAGTGCATAATCAATTGTACGATCCGAACGAAGTGATGTGTTAGAATCTGGGATAATGGGACCCAGTGAACATGCGTCCATCCATTCGAGAAGACGTTCCGCTTTTTCTCCATCCTTTTCGATATCTATGTTGAAGTCACCTGTAATAACACAACGATTAGTTCTGAATGATGACAGATCCGTCCAATCCCAAGATTTGCTTGCTGGAGCATAAATTGCTACTAATCTAGTGGTTTGTTCTACCAATAGATCAATTACACAGACATTTGGTAATGAACATGAGATTCTCGTAGCAGGAATATCATTATGAATTAATACTAAAACACCTCCATGTGCATTTTCGCCAGCTTGATAGAAAGTCCGATAGTTCGCAAACGCGCCACCCAATAGAGAGAAGTCAACATGTCCTACCTCACCAAGCACTAAAATATCGAAACGAAATTTTTTCATCCTAAGACAAACTTCCCCCCATCGTAAATTCAGACCACGAACGTTAAAACACAGCAGATGAATGTATGAGGACGGTTGATTAACATGCGACCTTTGGTATGTTTTCCAATTCAATAATAAATTATTTAATGATGAAGCAGTATGCCAATCGAGAAGAATTTCTGAAAAAAGATTTAAGTCTTTTAATGCAAGTGTATTACGAGCTAAGTCTATAAACTGAGATGCTTGATTACCATAATTAACATTGTCTTCGGATGCTCCTATCATTATTTTGACTTAGAACGAGACTTTCTATATTCTTCTAGCAGTTTGATTTGTTCTTGCCAATACGATTTCCAATTTGGTTTTTGAGAAACATTTGGGTCAATTATTGACATACAAACGTTTTCCAGTATTGTGTAGACTTTCACCGTAACATCTTCCAACTTCTTTTCCATTGTTTTCACTTGATTGTCGAGTATTTCAACTCGCTGTTTTGTCTCTTCGTAGTGATTTTTCATTTCTTGTTTTAATTCTTCAAACGAACGACGTGTTGCATTAGATTCTTCTTCTACTTTAACTATAATGTTATCAAGTTTCTTTAATAGGATGTCATTTGAATTAGAGGGCATCCCCTTTACTATAGCTGCATAGGAGGTACCTAAAGTAGAACCGACAGCAGGAATCTTGTTTGCGTTTGTTTGTAGATTTTCATATCCATTATTTGCTTGCCCGAGTTTAGCCAAGAGATTACGAGTCAGCGCCACACGGTAATCCTTCACCACTTTGCATTTAGAATCATTAGAAATATGTGATCCAGCACAGTGGATACATTTTGGAATCCCAGAACACTGATGATCTTTGAGATTGGGACATTTGTCACCACATGTTTTGCAGGTTGATTCGTTCTTCTGTGTGCAATTCTTTCTAAAATGTCCAATTCCGTAACAATTGGAACAAATGAGTACGTTAGCTTGTGAAAAAAATTCAACCACATTCAGTTTTAAGTGCATAACAGCTATTTCCTTAGCTTCTAGTATATCATTGCGCACTTTAGCCGATAAAAATTCCAGTTTAACTGCACGAACTGATTGTTGTGCTTTATTTTTTAATCGTATAATGTCTGCTACTCCAGGATATTTTTCTTTTACTTCTTGCACAAAATCCTCCCAATCAATTTGTAACGAGACCGCTGGTAGCACCAACGACAGCTGAGGAGGAATTGATGGTCTTTTTGTTGCAAATTCGTACCCTGCTAATGTGGTGGGCCAGTTTCCTCGTTCAAATAAGAACGAAAAAGATTCGCTGTTCTCAACGAAGACCAGGATACGATGCTCGTTATCTTCAGAACGTCCGCGACGATAGGCGACTGTTTTTAATTCAAAATGAAAATTTTCACTTGCATGTTTGATTAGATCATCAATAACGACTTTTTCTCGAACTTCATGCGAGAAAATAATAGAAAACGGAGAAAATGGAAAACGGGATGTAGCGTATCGACAGGCGGCCAATGAGGGTTGATGTTGGTTAGCATGTGGATCTACTCCATTCCTTCTGTCGGTAATATTATAAGATAATTGTTCTCCACTGTTTTGTTCATAACGATAAGGATACGAATTTTCCATTTGCTGTTGATTGGTTCCACGATGACGCTTGTTAGGAGTACTGCGAGCATTAAAAATACGAGTTGTCTGATAGTGTTGAGGACGTTCTTGTACATTCGAATCCGAAACACCACTGGTGTCGTTGCGACCTCTCTTGGTTGTAGCGGATATTGGTGTTGAGGCAACAGTCGGATTAGTCATTGCTGACGAAAACAAAACATTTGTATTAACAGCCGGATGATATGAAGAGACTAACGTTTGTTGTGGATTCGTGTTGGAATGTAACATTGCTTGATGTAAGAAAGCAGGAGGAACGTTACTAGTTGATGATACTTGTTGCTGATATAGTTGATGCTGATTTACCATATTATTTGGTGAATATTGATTGACGATTTGATTATTTGGTGTAGGTTGAACACATAAATACGACTGAGGCTGACCATACGGTTGGTACAATACTGGCACCGAGCCATAAGCAATTTGATGTTCTTTCGATACTTCCTGGTTAGTAGTGCGTATAGGATAATTTGACGTTGTAGTAGGACTAATATTTTCATAGACCGTGTAAGCCGCTTTCTGTTGTTCAGGTAAATTAGAAGAGTGTCCCAGTGGGGAGGACATGTGTCACCAGAATCAAAAGCTGTAAACTTAGATTCTGTGACTGAAAATGGAAGAAAAAAAAAAAAGGCAAAGAAAGCGAAACAGAACAGATAAGAGCAGACGCGTCTTATCCCTGTAAAGCGAAATCGTGAATGATAAAAACTACTATTGATGAATAGCTTCATATGTGTTTAATGATGAAGATACAAGTCTAATGAAAACAACGCTTTCTTTCATGTGAGTAACAACAAGTATGGAAAAGTTTATTATTGAAGAAACATATCAAACAGAAAATATTTTATCAAAACAAACATGTGATCAAAATGATTATTTATATTATTGAAAAACAAAACGAACAAAACTTTCGATCAATATGCGAGTGCATTGATAAAATGACTTTTTGTTTATTTTTGGTTTTTTGCTCAAATAGAATAAGTATAATAGGAAAATGAAATTTGAAAAAAATTCTTATTTAAGAGATCCTATTTATCATATGACACATAATTGAAACAAAAGAATTATGAAATGATTCTTGTAATAATTAACCGAGAGTCTGTCACCTTTGTTTGTTTTTTTTTATAAAGGTTATCATTTGTTGCGTATTAAGAATTTTCAATATCTTGGATATGAAATTAATACTAGAATTTCTTATGAATCTTTTCTTAATCATATTTTGACTAACATCTGATCTCGAACTTCTATGCTTATATTTCGTTTAGCTAATTGGTTTGATCATTTATTTTATCTATCACTGGTGAATACACTCTACGCTTTGAGGTGGTTCCTATGATGAATACAGATATATTGAGTGTAGATCAACAGTGGACTTTTTATTCGTGTTCCTAGAAGCGATGTGCATGTAACAATTCTTAAGGCAGTTGATATGCGTTTAAATTCACGTCAGACTAGATTGTTTTTCGAACGATATATTTATGTATTTGAGCTTTGATTTCGTTTTCGATTATTTTATTGTTCTTTATTTGCTTTCTACGTTCACGAGTGGAACTATGTTATATACGATTTTTTAACTTTTTTTTCATATACTTGCTCTGCCTTGTCAACTCCATATAATGTACTTTTTATTTTTATTTTGTCTCTTCACTGGACGACCATGAAGCCTAATATAATAAGGCATATAATTTTTAAAAAAGCCAACAGAGAACGAATCGAACCGAGTTTTTTACTACGGTAATTCGCTTTCAGTTCCTGATGTAAAAACAATCGATCGAAAGTTTGTTTGATCATTATCTACAGTATCACACTTTTACAACAATAAAAAAAAGGTGACAATTCAATCAATCCTTTTTTTATACATTTGTCTATATTCACTCTCTTTTCAAAAATTAGTTCAGGTTCAATTCAGTTCGACATCCTATTTCAAGCAATATCAAATAGATAAAACTCTGGATACGTTAAAAAAAGACTTTATTTATATTCAACAAAATGTTCTTGCTTAGTTCTCATTCATGTTTATCAACGATTACAATATTATCATCAATTTTAGTTCACATGTTTTCTTCAACTATCGGAGCTGGTTCATTATCACATATAAAACAGTATACATCTGAACGAATGAAATTTCTTCTGAAACAATAATCATCGATAAATGCTCATATTAATAAAATGGAAAAGTACACAAATCTTTATGTGGGAAATTTTTTTGGTTTTCTAACTAAAACAAATCAGAAAAGTACGAATGAATTCGAGAGAATTGTGGATTTTTCAAATGGTCAAATATATTATCGAATATTTATTTGTATTTCAACTATTGGTAATCGAAATACAGAGTGTCCCAAAAGTCACCTACCAAAAAGAAAATTGCATATCTCCACTGTATTCTAACTAAATGAGCTGATTTTTTTCCTAATGATAGAGAAAACTTCCAAGTTTTATTTATGTAGCAGCAGCTTATTAACACACTTGAAACGTAGCATTATCTACTTCAATACTGAATTTGCCTTTTTTCCAGATACTTCTATCAGTAATCGACCACAAAAAAAAACTGAAACGTCTCTGAAAACTTATTGGCAAGTTCTGCTTTGTAGAGCTTTGTGTGCCAATTATTTTGGTAAAAGAATTTTCTATTTTCATCAAGCAATGATAGTACTAGAGTCAAAATACTAAAAAACGTCGCATTGCTGCTACCAGCGCTATTTGACGTTTTCCAGTATTTTGACCTTAGTACCATCATTGCTTGATGAAAATAGAAAATTTCTTTTACCAAAAAGATCAGCAGAAAAAGCTCTACAAAATAGAATTTGTCAATAAAATCTCGAATACCTTTGCCTTTTTTGTTGACTATCCATGGAAATGCCTTATCAAACGTTAACTGTAGTCGCAAGTGTTTCCAGGGCTTTTCTGTACAAGAACAGTTGATAGAATCTTGTGAAGTTCTTGAGAAGCCAGATAGGCTGGCAAAAACTCAAGGATTCAAATAAATTATTAAAAATTTGAGAAAATCTAAGAACATGAAGAACTTGCATCAGATTACAAAAACCCCAAATCTATCGTTTATCTTTGGCAGAAATGTGACTATTTCTCTTTTAAATGAATGATAATAGTTTTAAGCGATGCTATTCAACTTTTTGCTGATGAATAAAAACTTAGAAGTTTTCTCTATCATCAGGAAAAAATGCAGCTCATTTGGTCAAAATACAGTGGAGATATACAATTTTCTTTTTGGTAGGTGACTTTTGGGACACCCTGTATAACGATGAACATTTAAGTTAAGAAAATATTATCTAAATGATATTTCGAAATAGGTCATTTCACTGAGCTTTTCAGATACTTGAAGTTTAATCAGTCATAGTGCTTCTTACATTTGAAAATATTAAAGCGAAATGGGACATAAAATTTAGGAAACAACGTTGTGTTTTGAAGAACGAGGCTTCCTCTTTAAATAGATGCGTTTACCACCACCATTAGGTTATTGTTTTCAAAATGCTACACGATATTAAAATCGGAAACTGCAATACCAAAGAAATATGACTATAAGCTATGACATAAGTACATCACTGCTTAAAATTAAGGGCTGCATATCTCATGAGTACAACACCAATCTAAAAGTGGCAATCTGCTATTTGCAACAAGTTCCGCCTTGCAAAGACACGTCGGAGTTTTGTGTAGTAATACGTTTTGTTTCTTACTTAACATTTGAAAAATTTGAGAGTATTTTAAAATAACAGCGATGCAATTCAATAATGAAGAGAAAATTATTTTTTGGACATTACAAAGATTATAACTACAGTAGATATTTCCATCAGCTGAGTTTTATCATTTCAATTACTCGCGCAGTTTCAGGTGCATCAAAATTTATGTCCGTCTCACCGTCTGAACCGTCATTTTTACAGGTTTTGACATGAAAATAATCAAGCTTTTTTCATTTTTGCAGTTTCTTCTTAATGAGGAATAACATAATTCACGATAAGCAAAGCCTGAAAATGTCATGAAAATTGTCCATTTTGAAATGATAGGTAAATTATTTCTCTCAATCNCCATACCCCCCCCCCCGACCCCACCAACCCCCACACACCCACCCACACCCACACACCCAAATAGGTCATCTACTTTGTTCAATCTTTCTAAATGAGTTCCACAAGGCAGTTGTATTGGACCAGTGTTGTTCATAATATATCATCATGATATTTTGGAAGCACTATCAACTATCCATTGGAAACACTTACTTTCTGATGATCTTGCCATTTTATTCTCACCATCGCCATCAATGTCTTCATCAAATATGATAAATACAATAGCCGATGAAATAAAACGTGTACTTCATCATTTGATTAAATATTCAATCAAGTGGAAGCAACCAATAAATTTTAGTAAAACATGTTGGATTCTTTTTAATCGTCAAGTTGTTCCTCAAGTTCCAAATATTATATACAATGGTTATAATATTGAGCACGTTAACAAATTCAAATATTTGGGCACTATATTAAATGCTAAATTGTCTTTTACTGCACATTTAGACTACATCAAAACGAAAATTCGTACCAGCATGAACATATTCAAACGATTAAATTCAAGCCGCATGATGAGTGAACAAGTAAACTATCGGCTGTACAATGCATTTCTTAGACCATATCTTCAATCAATACTCAACATCTATCATATTCTCACACCATCAAAACAGAAACAACTAGAAGGTTTAAATCGAAAAATATTCAGAGCAATACATCAATAGTGTGATGCAAGAAATATCGAAATCGAAAACCAACCCAAATATCAATCTATCTCGATATTGACCTCCAAACATTGGAATAAATTACTACATACGATTCTAGTCACAAATCCTAGTATTCTTGAAGATTTTTTACAACACAAATTATCGATTCTATACCTTCGTGAATATCTTTCAAATCCAACATTAGCGAATAAAAGACGAAAAATATTTGGCAGAGGAAGAATCCATAAAAATATTCGTAAAATGCTATCTGAAGCCCGCCCATCTTTGTTTGATTTCACTTTATGCTATCATTGATGGAAATCTTCTCTTCGTTACTTTTGTCAAATATCTATTTTATATATATATCTCTTGATATATGTTAACAAAAAGCTTTTTGTTTCTACTTACATTTTTTTTTCTTCTTCTCTTTTTTTTTACTTTTGACCCCTTCTTGTCAGTTTGTAAAAAACAATGTTGAATTCAAGCTGGGTTTTGTTTTCCTGCTACAGGAGCGATGTTCGCTCATAGCTTAAATAAAAAACATTACATTATTATTATATGAAAGGTTCAAAATCAGCGAATACATTTTCGTCGAAAACACGACTTATGTCGACGTTGTTCGAACAATTTAGAAAATTGTTTTACTTTTTCTTTTTTGTTGATTTTCAAAATTCTTAATGAGTCAAAGACTACTTGAATTATTTTCGATCAAAATCAACGATCTATGAGCAAATCACATACACATTCGTCAAGTTGCTTTACTACTCTGAAAGAAAAAAAGGAGTACTGCAGAACCTTTTTATGGTTCTGTAGCTCATGC